GTCCCCGTGTCAAAGCGGGGTGGGTAGGGCCCACATTTTTTCAGTTTTGATAATTTTGCAGGTAAAATAAATTTTTACTTGCCGGAGATTAAAACCGCCGACCTTCGGGCTTCTCTGGTGCTGTAGAGAACAGGCGGTTCTTGTGAAGCTTGGCCGCGGCCGTGCCGGTTTGTAGCTACAATTTACGGCAGATGTATAATTTCTGGGGACTTGTACATTTACTTTGGTGACATGTATTTTTTGAGGCATAGCAGCCCCCTTTGCCCGTCTCCCCGCCCCCGCACCCGGCGGCCCCATCCCCGCGCATCCCTCCGCCGCGGCTGCAGCCACCCTCCCTCCCTCCCCCACGGGGCGGGCCGCGCTGCCGGGGCGGCTGCCGGGGCTCACTCCGCGTGGTGCGGCGGCCGCTGTCGGACCGTAGCGTGGCGCCCGAGTGCCGAGCCGAGCCCGCGCAGCCCGCGCTCAATCGTGCTTCCCGACGACGCTCCGCGACCGGCCGCGACGCCCCGACACAGCCTCCCCTCGCCGCTGCAGGGGCCGGCCATGTGACGCGCGCGCTCGCGCCCGTGTGCGTCGTGTGTGCGCGTGTGAGTGTGAGTGTGTGTGTGTGTGTGCCACCCGTACGTCTGCGTGCATTCGAGTGTTTCCTTCCAATAAAGCTGTGCATATTTATCCTCTCTATCCCCCCTTCAGAGCGTGTTTACAGTCACGTAACCAAACCTTTTCGCAGTGCGTCACTTTATTGTGGTTTGCGTGGAAAGTGCCATCATTAAGTGCTCCGATTGAGTGTGGATATAACCAGTGCAGCGAGAGCGTTGCCCTGGACCGGCGAGTGGAAAGTTGCCTTTTTGTGCAAAGTGCAGTGATAAAGTGCAAGTGCAATTCGGATGAGTGGATTAACAGTGCTAGTGGAGTGTGGAAATGGACTGACTTGGATTACCTTTTGAATTTTTAGAAGGTACGTCACTATAACACGTATACATAACATACATCTCATAGTTCTAAACTGTAGTTTATCATAAAATTATAACAGATTTGTACATAAAAGGATTACAGTTATCAATGGCGAAGAGAATTGGACAGCAAAACGTATCGGTTCAGTTTATAAATTGCCTTTTGGAATTGTACATCTTTTAGACATTCTATGGGGCTAGAAGTAAACGATCTAGGGGTTTTGTTCGCAAATTCGCTTACTGCCTATGGAATTCTTGTGGGGAGAGCTTAATTTGGTAAAACTTTGAACTTTTTGCTCCATATTTGGAAGTAATTTTGAGCTCCAGAGACAAAAGATATTGCATTTTTCGGTGCCTCAAATCAGTTTTAAGATGTGCCCTGTGCCCATCGTGTATTTTGTAAGGGACAAGAAAAATAGTCATCATGCTGTTACGAAACTGGCAAGTTTGTCATATACAAGTTCTTACAGCGCCTGATGGTTAGGCAACATCTCGCCTGAAGTGCATGCGAGTATTGCAGTGTGTCCTACCTCGAGTCTCGCAGGCGCCAATCTCCCGTAATTCAGCAGCAAGGGTACGTCTGACCAACTGCACGTGCAGCGGTATACCTATAGAGAAGATCACCCAGAAAGACCATTTTTCTCCGTTTCATTCGGCAAATTACGGGAGCTCGGCGCCTGCGAGACACGAGGTAGGCCACACCGCAGTACACTCGTGCACTTCAGGAGAGATTTTGCCTACCCATCAGGCGTCGTGAGAACTTGTATATGACAAACTTGCCAGTTTTGTAGCATCAGATGAATGATCCACGGTGTAACATCCTATACTAAAGTAGAGAAAAAGTACAGTATTCCCGCACAGGATGTGGTACATGTAGGTACGTATATTTTGTAGTGGCCATAAAGCTCCATGTTAAAAATTCCTGTCCTCAGTGATTGAAACACTGTATTTGATAAGTAGAATAACCGTGAAATGGGTTGACCAATAAAGTACTAGGCAACTTACTGTGCTTTTTTCAGACAGTGCACTGTAAAATGCTTACGAAATAAATGCTTTGCGACGTTACAAACAATTTTCATTCTTTGTAATGCAAAGAAATCGAGAGAAATTGTTTGTACTGCAAACAATAAATTGTTTGCATTGCAAAGCAATTGTTTGTAAGGCTGGGAAGTTTCTTAAGAACGAACGTTTTGCATTACGAACTATTTGTTCGCAAGCTTGCGAAGAATTCGTTATATATATACTAGACAGAGACATGAGACAGACACGAGACTTCCGGCCTCAGACATGAGACTTTGCCCCTGGTGCCCCTCCGACCGAGGACCGAGGTCATGTCCGGTCTCATGCCCAGTCTTATGTCCGTCTCATGTCCGTCTCAGGTCCAGTCGCAGGTTTTTTAGTCTCTCTCTAGTATAGTCTCATGTACCCCCAGCCCTGAAGTCCAAACGAACGCGCTGAAAAATGCCCCTTCCCCCTTTCCCCTCCATCCCCTGCCTGGGAACACGCTGGCAGATCCCGGCAGCTAGCAGTAACGGGAGACGAACGCCGAGGAGTGGAGTGCATCGTCGTGGTTCGACCGGCTCGACTCGGCTCTGGAAGTTGCTTCGTTCCGTCCGAACTTAACTTGATATCAGCTCACTACGTAGGCCTTCCCTTCCCGTCAGCGGGGCGTTACCCCCTGCACGGCCGGCTGGCTTCCCAAAGCCCCCCGCTCCCTCCCC